CTAAGCCCACAAACACAGCGTCAGCAGTTGTGCTTTCTAGGAATTTAAGTTCTTTAATCTGGTAGCAAAGGGCCTCGCTCCCTGCTCATAACCTCTCCACAGTAAAGGCAGGTTGTTTGATTCACATTGGCTTTTCTCACCAACAAAGCACTAATTACAGTAAGAGTGAGTGGCTGTGTTGGCTAAAGCTGGTCTGCTAGGACATGAAGGGATAGCGGCACAGGCTCTGCCGCCTGCTAACGCTGTAATTAACTCTGTGACACGACATTCTTCCTTCTTTCTCAAACTCATTTCCTCTCTTTCACAGACACACACACCTCGCTCTTCCATATTCCTCTACGAACGGTGCAGGAATCAAATTTAGCAAGATCATGCTTTGGTCAATGAGAACATGAGAGGGGGGGAGCTGGATGGGAGGGTTAGGAGAGGTTGGGAAGGAGGGACAGTCATCAGTACACACCCCTAAACACCTCCTTGCCTCACCTCATCGCCAGCCGTGCTGAACCAAACCTGACAGCTATTCAATTTTCCTAAAGCTAAATCTAATCTGCAGCCGTCTCCCCCTCACTGACACACTGTTACAGTGGAACGCCTCAGACATCACCCACCCTTGGCAGCAGATTGGCCCCATCACACATGCTTCTCCCCCTCCACTTCGACACACAAACAGAAGCACATTGGGCAATAGAGGTAAAAAAAAAATAACTAAACCTATTTTCAAATGAGTCTGAAGTACAAATGATGCTGTTTGACCGTACAATTATGAATGAATGTACTCACAAAATACCGTAGTTCAAAACTAAGCTCTAACCAATCCACTGAAAAAATATGAACTGAATAATGATCACGGGCACACATGTATGTGTATGGGAGGGGGGGGGTCTGTTGATGTATGTGTGCACTCATATATAAGGGACACGTGTAAGTTAATTAAACATCAAATCACTAGTTTTATTCTGATGTTTTTTTTTAAACAACCCTGAATATTACAGAATCATCCTTGAAACAAAAAATGTGTAATTTTTGGGTATTTGTGAATTGTAAACTCTGATCAAAACAGAAGTCATTCTAATATTGAGTTTATTAAAGCCACTCTAACAAATAATATAGGCCTATTGCTAACACAAATAAAACATTAGCTTAACAAATTTTGAACAGACAATTTTTGAAGGAAATAAAAGGCACATCAACAATATACATTTATTTTTAACGAGGATAGAAAGACACATGATAGCTAAATCTAATTAAAACTTTAAACACTGCTTAATATGAGTGGATTTTTTTTTTTGGCTCATCCACGCACAGCAAGAATCATTCTTCCAATGTTGTCATCCAAATATGTAATTAATTTTAAATGAGTGTGAAAAACTAAAATGCATAATCATTTCCATTTCTAAATTAGATAATTATTCATGCTTTTAAATCTGGTTAGTGTGACTGAAATACATATTCAGAACAAAAGTTAATCTTGTTTCCGACACAAACACACATGAAACTGCCTCCTGTAGGAATATTACATTCTGTATAACGTCTCTGTCTTAGAGAAAGGAATCTGACTGTGTACAGTAAATCACTTAAAACATAATTAAGATAGTTTTCACTTTCCTCTTAAGTGTTCATTTTCATAAAACTGGTATTAAGAAAAAAATGTGGTATTTAAAAAATAATGCATTTGTAATGCACTGGTGTAAAATATGCTGTAACAAAATAGTTTAAAGTAAAACAATTTTTTATTTTTTTATTTTTGAAATGCATTTGCTTCACTTCTCTAAAACACATAGATATTTTTTATCCATCCTCCACTCCACCTTGTTGCTGGCTTGCTGCATTAAACTCTTTGGTGGTAAAAGATAATGGTATCGCACACTATACATGCATACACACCCAGACACAAACACTCTTCTTCCCCACCCAGGCAAATCGATTCCAGCATACTCTTGTCACACATCATTACACCATCCTATCATCCTCTGATCTTTGCTGTGTATACGGTGTCTGTACATGTGCGGGTGAGCATGCTTTAAGAAGGTATGCAAACTTAACACACACACACACACGCTGCAAACATACGCCTGCTGCCTACAGCTCTTGCTCTTAAAAATAAGAAAGCAGACACGCATGGAAAACTGTCAGCCAGCCGCTGTGGCGATCCCACAGAATGATCATTTGTCTTATATCTTCCATTACCAAAAGGCTTGAAGTTATTTCAGCGTGGCATAATGTCCCACGACAGTGATAGCAGAAAGCGATAACATCAGTGAAGTGAAAACTAGTCCAGCCAACAACACACACAGAGACACAGCCATCACAGCCAGGCTGGCTCATACAGACAGGTTGCTCAATGATACATGAAATTAAAGATTTCAACAGAATAGCAGTGAAGAGGGTAAAACACACAGAGCTAATTCTCACTATCAGTGGGAGATGTTTAATGTGTTTCAAAAACAAGTCCCTCTTCTTTTGTATGGGTAGTGTACACACCGTAGTGTACAGTGTTGTAAGTGCATGTGTATCGTATTTGAACATTTAGTGATGAGTAAACTGCTAATGCCTGATTTGTGTAACAAATTGAAGGCGTTATTGACCATGTTTTTTTTTTCTTCTTCAGGGACATAGAAGTGCACACACATTCAAACACACACACATATGACCTGACTGGTGTAACCTTGAAAGGAGAGATATTTCCGATGGATACAGGAAACGCTCTGTGGCGTGGGAAGGGAGACCGATCAGGACGGGGGACGAGATGAAAGAGGAGACGGGGCTTGGAAGAGAGGCCAAATCTGTCCAACAGCATTGGAAGATATATAGATCCTAAATGTTGTCTCTGGAAACCACAGGAATTATTATTTCCAAATAAATACATTTATATAATTTCTGTGAAATTATGTTTTAAATTAAGAGTCATGCAATCCTTCCTATTTCAATCAATAATGAAATGTGAATTGAAATGACTGAAGGCAATAATAAGAATTAGCTATACAAATATATAATTAAACTCCTTATGTATTTGGACAAGGGCTGATGCACACATTTCAAACATATGTTACGCATCAAAATGTTTGAATTGTGGTGGTACAGTACTGATTATTTAATACAAAAATGCCTTGATGTACTCTACTGTATACAAAATCAAAATGTACATTATCTGTTATCTTATTATTGTGTGTGTGTGTGTGTGTGTGTGTGTGTGTGTGTGTGTGTGTGTGTGTGTGTGTGTGTGTGTGTGTGTGTGTGTGTGTGTGTCATGCAGAGGTATGGTTATTTCTGAAGGACTTTTGTTATGCTAGGGTCAAAGCGATAACTCAAGAGAGACTGAGTCCATCTGTCCCCTGCCCAGGGGAAAGAAACACACACACACACACACACACACACACACACACACACACACACACACACACACACACACACACACACACACACACGCACACACGCCTTGGTCTTTTCTCCTCAGCGCCATCCTCCTTATGTACAACAGTGTACAACCCTCTATCTTTCTGCCTATTTAAAAGCATATGTGCCCTCAGGGGATCTGTGGTCCCTCTTAATTGTTCCTGGACAAGAGCTACTAGACTGCACCAGATACACAATAAGGCGAAACATACAGGAGATGTGACCAAAAGCCTGCGAATGATTGAATGTGTGCATTTATACACCCTGCTCTCTGACATATACTGCAAGTGGGCACAGTGAATACACTATACTTGCAACAAACCAGTTTGGCGTCAAAGATGCACTTTTCCTACAAAGAGGTCCACAGTCTTTCTTTGCTCAATTAACCCTGCGGCCCTCATTTGCATTTCATAAAGAGGTCGTCACTCTGTGGGAGGGTTATTTTCTTTTTTGAGGTAGAAAACGATTAGAAGGGGGAAGAGTTTTTATCAAAAAGATAACAGCAATCTGCTGGCTTCTGAGGAAATCCACGCTATAGGCTCACATGTGTGTATGTGATTGTGCGTGTGAATATGCAGTGTGTGGTCACGTGCATACACTTAAGCGTGTGGGGGGGGGGGGGGGGGGGGGAGTCTGTACTGTATGTGTGCACTCATGTATAGGGTACGTGTGTAAGTTAGTGTGTCAGATCACTTGTTTGGCCTGTGTGACATCTACTTGCAGCTACACACCACAGTGTCTGTGCCTCCACCCAGGACCCTGAACTGATGGCCCCTGGCACAACACTGTGTCGGTGCACCGGCCCCCGCTGAGAGGGTAGCTTCAGCTTGGCTTTTTATCCATTGGTTATCCATTAGCCAGTTTTAACTCATGGTTCATCAACTGACTCTCCATTAGGTACATTTGCATTCCATCACACTCAAATATTGCATTAATGCCACTAAGCGGAGAGTGGAAAAGGGACGGGAGAAGACTGCAGAGAGGTACGAAAAGAGGTAAGGGGGGGTGTTAAAAATGTGAGGGACCTTCGGTTGCTAAGCACTTTCCAGAGAGAATATCTGTGTGTCTACGCATCTCCCAGAGTGCCTTTGAATTGGACACCCATTTAAAAAGAGCATGTTCTGAATAAGCTTTTAAATCTGTGCCTACCTAGTCGACATGCATTACCGATTCTCAAGTGCCTAAAAAGCACGGTTCCTGCAGTTTAAGAGATGAAGAGTGACATTTCTCTAAATTCAAAAATGACTCACCGGCAGTCATTTCCTCTCATCATAAGCCCATCCTTTCACATCCACACAGCAATTTCAGAAAGTCTCTCAAAAAAGTCTCTATGAGCTTTTAAATAAAAAGTCACTTTACCCACTGTATCATATAATTTCGGCTTGCAAAAAATTGCTGGAGTACACTGTGGGTTCTTACATATTGGTCAAATAAAAAAAATACATATTTGAAAGAAAAATCCCTCCTCCTCTACTCAAATCATTTACAAGACTCAAACTGCCTAAAATGAAAATGTGCTCAAGTTCAGTCATGTGGACATTTGAATTTTACATTTTGGGTATTGAGGTTCCAGAGTGCCACCTTAAGTAGACAATACAACTGCTCACCTTCTGCAGCAGCTGGGAGCCGGAGTACTTTGCTGAGATGGACTTTATCTCCCCACCAAAAGCTGAAGCCCACAGCTTCACCCTGCAGACAGAACACAAACAAACAGAGACAAGCAAATATTCAGAAACAGTTTCAAAATATAAATAGGCCACAACTTATTAAGCTGACTTAAAAAGTACTGATGAGTCTGCTTTTTGAAAGATTTAGCAAAAACATGAAATAGGCAGATTTACAATTTCATGTTTTTACAAAATCTTTTAAAAAGCAGACTTTTTGTAAAATCTTTTAAAAAGCAGACTATCAGAGAAAAAAGAAAGTCTTACACTAAATACGTATACCATTAAACAACACATAGCGATATGGCATTAAATATTGTTTACTCAAACAGCTGTAGGCATTTATAAGTTCTGCTTTGAAACTTGGAGATTCAAGTGGTGCGTAAAAGAACATCTACTTACACGGACGGAGGGATGCTTTGGTGGGTGCCTCCCACCTCACTGACCCTGGTACCCAGAGTTGAAAAAAGTAAAATCAGACACGCACACCACGCACTGGAAACCACACAGCTCCGATCCACCTGCATCTTGGGCAAAATACCCTCCCTATGCGCACAGAGCGAGTTTGTTGGCTTATGCTTCCACCGTGGATTTTTTTTTTCCTCTCCAGAAAATCCGAAAAAGGAAAGAAAAGGAGGAGATGGAGGAAATCAAAAGTCCGAAGTCACCTATGCTGTCCGACTAAATCGTTCATGGCAATGTGTGCTGCTGTTCTTGGAGCGGGACGCGGTTGAGCCTTGGCAATCGGCAGCTGTGAGTTATCCAAAGTGCCGCGGTGTGACCCGCTCACCGGTGCGGTGCACACGGCTCTGCTGCACGGCGGAAAGTCGAGCTCTACTCCTCCGGCAGGGAAAGTCCTTCCAGTTGCTTTGTTTGACCGACCTCACCCGCAAAGAGCAGAGAGTGGAGGTACCGGGGGAACCGGGGAGACCATCAAACGATGCAGCGCACAAGAGCACGCCTACTCGTCTTGAGTGATGCGACTAGCCTCCTCTCTCTCCCCCCTTTCTCTCTCTCTCTTACTTTCTCCCCTCCTTACTCTCTGGATCTGAGGATGCTCTTATTGTTGTTGTTGAATTACGCCATACTTCTGCCTCTCTCTCTCTTACCCTTTCTCTCTTACCCTTTATGGGCTCTAATACAGGGCTATAATAGCTAGCCTTTAGCTTTCATGTTAGATCAAGTCATGCACTGTATACCCAGTTCACTGAAGCAGGAATTACTGCCAAAGTGCTGACAAAAGAGAAAAGAAAGTGTGTGTGCGTGCGTGCGTGTGTGCGTGCGTGTGTGCATGTGTATGCGTGTGTGTGCATGTAAAGACAGAAGGAAGTGGAGATGTTCAGCCTCTTGGTGGAAGGAGGGCAGGACCACATGATACAGTATTTCAGTTGTGCTGAAGAAAAGCATGTTAATTAAATGCACTTTGCAGCAGGGATGTGGCACTGGCAGTGTGTGGGCATATGGGTTGTGAAAGAGGATGGAGGCCCCGGGCGATGGACCCCATGCAACGGATTGTGTTTCGCACAGAGCTGGAAGGATTCTGGAAAAGCACTGGAAGGGCATCAACAAGGACTGAATAGCCTATCTCTACCGCTGCAGAGGGAGGGCCCTTCTGATTACAGACCTACCTCTTTTATATTAGGGGCTCACCTTTGGCTTATATGGGTCAAACATCAATGTGAAACAACCGGTCTCGGTAGTCAAACCCATAAACACAGTTGGTTCAGACCCATCCCAACAACAATATACAGAAGTAGAGTCACATCCCATTTTGGACTTTTCTAATATATGTTTTTTGGATTCCCTGTAACAATCCTCAGGTGTCATATAATCATACTGGCACATGAGACATTCAAATGCACTCAGATGAGAAAGCTCAGTGTTTAAACTGTAAATCAAAATGTGTTTTGCATACATGTAATTGCACTGATATTTGCCTGCCCAGTGACTTCTCTAAAGTGGCCAGTGAATTGATGCCACAGGAAAAGCTCCCAGGTTTCCAAACCAACAAACATGGCTGTTCCTTGTGACCATAATGAAGTCAGCCTGCAATAACACAGTGCAAACAATGTCTGGAGATCTGGTCTTATAATGAGAATGACAGAGACTAAACAAATAAATTATTTTGTGTTGTTAAGCTATATAATCATTGGTAACAGTTTGCTCATTATCATTCTGAATATAGATAAAAGTAAAACTCAGCAAACACTTTCTGATATGAACACATATTGATTTTTATTTAGGTTGCCCATGAAACATTTACTTAAAGGTGGGGTATGTAATTTATTTCAGAAACACTTTTTGTTATATTCCATGGAATGCTCTTAACATCCCGATAGCAATGAATATATTAAATGCTTTGACAATAAATACATAAAAAAAATCATCTGTGGAAGCCGTAGTGCTGTAAAAAGCACGACCAATCATTTTAGCCGGCCCGGCTAAAATAACTGGATGGCCTACCTGCCTGTCAGCCTTCCATCTGTGCACAAACGTATCTCGTGCCCTCATTGGTCATGTGCGCGTTTGTGTGTGTTGGAGGAGGGGCTCTGTAAGGAAGTGGCAGATTTTTTCCGGTTGTGTATTTTCAAATTCTAGCGCACTCGAGCTGGTTTCTTCAAAATTACCTACCCCACCTTTAATGTGTGACTGCTATAGTGGAAAATGTTGTCTGCCACTACATATGTGACAAACTGCCCTAAACCAGCTGATGCCTAAACAACATTGTCTATTTTTGATGGGTCTATGCTGCAAAAGTGACACCCACTATGGGGTATAAACTCATGAACTAATATAAAATTAGGATTTTATTTTTTCTATGAATGTGTTTCTTGGTATGGTTAAAATGCTGTCTGCTCTGTCTTTGCCTACTACTATTTTAGGGGTTTTAACTTTTCACCATTGTTTTAAAAGCAAATGCACAGTAATGGCTAAGTCAGATCAAATCAATGAGGTATGGTCATAGTTGGAATACAAAAACATGTATGAGAAATGAGAGAGAAACGTGATCATCTTCTGTGTTGTTTAGCTTCTTATTGCAGAATAATTTCTTCCTTCCGTGTCTGTCCCAGCATGATCATAATGTATCGTATGGCATGGACATTGAAGACAGGTTTCATCAACCTTATTCCTGTAAATCTGCAAAAATAAAAATAAATATCAGTTGTGGTAGTTATAAATGACTTTCTTGGGTGTTTCTTGTAGGGAAGCGTTATTGTGATTAGGAATAGCACTGAGCAAAGCCAGGCCACTTTACTTGACAGAACTAGGTAGTCTGAAAAACAGCTGTTACGGTAAATAAAGTGAATGGCCAGGTAAAAACCCAAATAAAATATTGAATGAAGAAAAACAACTGTGCATTTTTGTTGAAGAAAGTCATCATACTCATGACTAAAGGGATAAGAAAAAAGTTATTTACGTCTTCCTTCATTCTTACTCCTTATTTTCATCCTGTTCTGGTTCTCATGCAGTGGGCTCCTCCAGATCTCTTTCTTCCTCGTCCGGTACGAGTGAATGGTTATTTGTTTACCATCTTGAGTATTACAGTGTTCACACAAAATGGTAGTTCTGAGTAAAGTAGTAATTTTAAACTAATTGGAATAATTCTTTAAATGTAATCTTTATATCAATTAGAGCAAATTAAACTGCTCTAAAGTTAAATAAAATCTGATGATATCACGGTTTTGAACATAAATTCCTCATGTCACTTATCTATCCCCAAAGACGGTTTCTTTCCATCTCACCTCCTTTGAGACATCACAATCTAATACCACTCATGTCCCATTGGACAACCAAACACAATCCCAATAGTCCCTCGTAATTCTCTATTCAATGTTATAATAGCTTCTAGCCGTGACCTAGACAAAGAGAAAATAAAATTGTTTCTGTGATATTTTCCATTGACATAACTATATGAATATAGTTACATTAACTAGCAACAAGCCAACCACTTTTACACATAATTCCTGACGCTTGATTCATGCACGTGAGCCGGAGGCATGTCTCAGGAGATTTTCCGGGTGGATGGGGCGTTGGCTAAGGCCTGGATTAGCAAGGGATTCTTTTACACACCATAGTCAACCTTGAAAATAATGCATTGCATGCAGAAGCCATGGGGATGAGGTTAGTAACGTGGGGAGGAAGACATTATTAGTAGTATTTTTAGAGGACATGAACAAAATAATGCATTGATAGATGTATTAATGTAGTCATGGACAATGAAGTCCTGCACACATATTTTATGAAAAAAAATGGGGTGAGAATTAGTCATGGGTCACATCAGAGGGAAAAACATCAAAGACTAATGACCCAGTACTATTTTCAATCTTCACACGCCCACGACCCCTCTTGTTTCTCTCCTCTAACCCTCCATTTGCTCAGTTCTGAATGCTGTAATCACATCATCTGATTTTGGAGAGCAGAGTGTACACAAGCTGCTGTTAACTGGGCTGTACCTGGCATTTTGGCGATGAAAGAAATATGTTTTGATGGTGCGCTTTCTTTACCATCCAATAGTGACAGCTTTCCGTTATTTCAATTCATTGACTTCATATTTTCTCCTTACTCTGAGAAAGTACACCAAGAAAAAAAACATCAATGTCCTTATTTGAGGTCATATTAACATACTGGCAAGATTATGCTTTAAGAAGTGTCATCATCACGTGCACATCAGTGAGTTATAAGCATCTGGGGGTTATTTTACACATCTGTATGATTGTACTTTAAATGTGGAATGACTGTCACAACTGTAACAAATCTTATGTATTGAAGACGCCATTGCTATTACTGGAAGATGATACAAAGATAATACTGTCTTAAAAGGAGAATATTATACAAACTGCATGGGACTATGTACAGTGTAAGAGCTTCATCAGTATGGCCTTGTTTCCTTTTCTGATGTCTAGTTTGACCTAAGGCCCAGCTATCCTGTATCTCTAGCAGCTCATTAGCACCAAGGTCAATCCTGCATACCAATACAGAATTAAGGATCAGTGGAAAAGGGTAGATGTACTGGCATGATTGAACTGGATGTGCTAATACTTCAATAAGAATATGTGATTTTTACAGTAGCTTTTTATAATGTTCCCCAAATATGCAGGTTTTTTGACTGGACTACTGTCAACAATCCTTTGCCCAGCCAGAATAAGCCCTACATTAGGTGAGGTGTGAGCAGCAGAGCAACAGGCTTTGATTAAAAAACACAGCGATGTTTAGGGAATTGCACCTTTGACAGATCAAATTTGTTCCCAACTGTGGTCATCATAACTGCCCCTGTTCCACCCCGCAGGTCTAAAAATAGTCTCTATTAGAAAACCAGTCACTTATTGTCAGTTCTATCATGGGAGGACAATGTAACATGTTATAGCTATTGCAGAGCTAAAGCATCTCTGTCCAGGCTGGTTTGTATTTACACTAGGAAGCGGGAGGTGGTGTCCGAGTGTGAGCATCGATGTACTTATCGGTACAGACAGTGATGGGCTCACTCCCATTAGTGCCTAGGAATCTCAAAGCACACCATAAATAATTCTTTGTTACCAGACTCAGAACTCACCTTGCTCCAGAAATACCTCCCTTAATTCAATTAATAATGAGATGCCAAAGACTTTCCTCCATCAGCACGGGCAGAGAAACAGACGACTGTATTTGGTGGGATGGAACACAGCTGCCTGCGGAATATGCAGCGTCATGGATCAAAATATCCTCCGCGTGCAAGATTCATGGGCTTGAAAACAAGGACAAACTGCATCCAGCTTTGCCACGATACACAGCAGGGGGCATTGGCAGCCGCGATGCAAGGGAGGTGAGCTGGTGTGTCACCTGTGAAATCAGGAGAGAAGATTAATAACTTCTCAGCTTCCCCCAGTAACTGGAAACTGTGTCCTTGAATTAAAGAATTGATCTGAACTGTTGGTTAAGGCTGACTGCGCTCTCACAAGTACGTTTTTTTTTAAATGAATGTTCAAGCAGATGGAGAGTAAATGAAAGCTT